AGTATTTTTTTTGGAGATTGTGTGGTTAAAAAAATAAGAATTTTCTTTTAATTTTTGTGTAATATTGGGAGAATTTGTGGTTGAAAATAAGAAAGGTAGCCCCTGAGACTAGTACAATTCGGTAATCAGCTAATTAAAGGCTAATAAAGGAAGGTCTCTATTCCTTGTTTGGGCCAAAAATATGTTAAATATTCGTAGGGGCCCCATATTTGAAGTTGGCATAAGGCTCCCAAAATATCAGGATTGCCCTGATCGTGAGAGTAAGCCATGTAGCAACCTTTCCTATTTTTATGTGGACACACAAGATGGATCCCTAATTATAGCCAGCAAAGACTGCGGGCGGCCCTAAAATCTATGGTTAGCTCTTATGTCAGTTATGCTTACGTAATGCGGTTGCCTTGATGAGGCAAAAGGGTTCAACCTTGATGAAGCATGTAATCTTTCCAGGTTTGAGGAAGAGATATGGATGAACTCTCTCTTAAATGGGGCCACGGGGGGATTGTTTGGAGAGTGCGAACTAAGTCCAGTGTTGGATTTTGATACTCAATAAATCTCTGGTTATGATGTAAAACCGGTTTTAGTGTTTGGATTAAACTTCATAGGTCTCGACCGATAATTGAAGTGAAATGTCGACACCACAATGAACGAACCATTCCGACAACCTAAGTGGGTCATTTGAAGAAGCCTAATCTTATTAGTGTTGCTCATGGTCTGACCCATTACTTTGGACGGCTTTAGGGTTGAAAGCCCACTTCTTGTTGTCTATTGGGCCTCTTGTGTTTGACCTTAAAACCCACTTACCTTATGCTTATTGTGATTAGCCCTAGTGTGAATGTTGGAGCCGTGAGTTTTGAGGAGAGAAAAGAGAGTTCTTGCTTATTGCTACCTTCTCATCCTCTTCCCTTAGCCTTAGTGGCTAGTTTGGGCTGCCAAAGATCACTCACACTCAGCCTTTGTGACACCTTGGAAGCAACCAAGTAGTGGTGGTTTTAGTTTGGAGTTTGGTTGTCATTGTGGTGTCAATTGGTGAAACTGAGCCCGGTTTTGGAGCAAGATTGGAGGCCAATAATCCTACATCCAGCATCGGGAAAATAGATAGGATTGGATTACTCCATCTATTGGCTTAACTTTTTTGGGATGGAACCTCAATTCCCTACATTCAATATGTCTAAATTCCCTTTCCCCAGTCAAATTTTTGTGTAATTGTTTAGAAAATATTTCTCTGCTTAAAGATACTATAGGAGTGACTGGAAAAAATATGCCACAGGACAAGCTTAGGAGTTATTTGATTTTATTGCTTATCAATTTACTAACTGTAAATAAACTGATAAAATGGAAAATTTCAGCAATTATCATTGTTTGCTTGTTTTGGAAATGCTCAAGCATTCTGCAATTCTAGGCAGGTGGGCTAGCTGGGGGAAATGGAAAGCATGAAAGGTGCATGCATTGGCAGGCCGGTTCCGACTTTGCCTTTTCTTCCACCATTCATCCACATCCTACTTCGATTTTTCCCCAGAAGAATCAAAAGATAATCCTTCAAAGGGTACAGAAAGTTTTCATCAACATTGTTCTTCTTAAAGCTTTCTCATGGAGGAGCAACCTTCCTGACTCGATGATTTCCTGAACAAGTCAGAATCACCAGTACTTGTCACAGGCGCCCAGCAAGTGACACTTATCCGTACTTAGGACAAAAAGTAGAGACATTTAACATAAGGAGCAAATCCAAATATCTATATGAAAATGGATATTTTGAAACTTCAACAGGATCAAGAAACTTGGTACATTGCAAAGTTTCCGACAACACTTCCATTGAGACTAATACAGGCTCATTGGAAGAAACAATTAAAGAGGTTTTGAGAGCTATTTTATTATTTTATTTTTTTGTAAATGGCAATAGTATGAAAATTAAACTGATAATTTTACGCAGGAATCAAATATATTGGTATCTACTTCACCTAAAGAGCAGAACAGAGAGGAATCTAGTCCAAAAACCTCGAGGGCTCTATTGAGAAAGCTAATGGCTCACGAGCGAAGCCTTCTACACCCAAGATGGATGCTAAATGTGCTAAACAGTAAGCATTCTGATTGCAGCCTTCACCAATAGTTTTCCTAACATTTATTATCTGTTACCATTCCATTATCCCTCTACTTTTGAAATGTAAGAAGTCATAAGATGGAGTGATTAACAGATAGTCTTTTCCTTCAAGTATACTAATCATATTGATTCTGTACTCTGCCAATCTGTATCTATACAGCAGTGCTGGCTAGACCTAGGCTTGTCCCACTTGTGCAACTTCAGACAACACAATAAATCAATCCCACCGGCATCTAATCAATCCTAGAATCCTAACTATGTGGAGTTACATTGCGTAATAAGTTTTTATTAACCAATGAATTCTACAAACTACTATCTTACAAAATAATGTAGGCTAATATCACTTTTTCTCCTTTTAAAGTTTTCGTTCATTTTATTTTTCCTACGTAATCTGATTGTCATCGTTTGTGATAAATATCCTTGCAAACCTAAGAGATTGCGATGCAGGAACTCTGCTCACCGATCAAGGGTGAGGAAACTTCAGTACATAGGTCAATTGGAGAGGACTGTCCAATTTCTACGGATAACGGATATATTGAAGAATTACACACATTAATCTACAATCTAAAAGTCGCACATTTGATTTTTGTTGTTGAGGTGCAAATCATCAATTTTCCATTTTCTATATGACAGGCTGAAGGATGTGAGGTCTCAGCTGAGGTTGAATTCCTTGGGCAGCATAATACCATATTGACCATGGAAAATAAAGCATTGAGGCAATGCTTAGAGAGTTTATCAAAGGTGCAGCTCATAAAACACTGTAATTCTTTCTTTTATTATAGAGATTCGCTTATTCTATATATGCATTTTTCAATTCAGTCAGAAACCGATAAAAGGAAAAATGTGTTTGACACCACCCTAGGAACAATATTTTGTATGACTTTGTCTTATTACACATTTTTGAGTAATCAGTAGCAAATTTTCAAGAGATGTTGCGAACAGAAATTGGTAGGATGCAAACTATGTTTCAGCTACGGAAGCAACAGCCAATACAGCTGCAGCCTGCAGCATCCACAACATCAACAGCATTCAAAACAACATCGAAACAGAAGTCGAGCTTTTAAAACCAGTCAAGTAGTTTCTCAATGAAGAACAAGAACTTTGACTCCAGCAGAAGTTCAGTTAATAATTGAGCAAGGATCTATATTAGATATCGCACTACTCATTGTTTTGGATTACTTCTTCGTTTTTCTTTTTCCTGTTGCTACCACTTCTTTATCTCTTGATATATTATGATCTAGATTTAGCAGGGCCTTTACGAAGCTTTAGAATGAAAGGCAGATTGCAGCGAATCTAAGCTGATTGTTGACACTTCACTAAAGCTCCAAGCTTGTGGTTGTGGATTTCTTGAGTTTCTTAATGATATGCATCTAGCATTTGGATCATTTCTGTTAAATGAGCCAAATTACTTTACGTTGACTCTTTTCATAACTCATTTCAGATTATTTGCTAGGTGCATGTTTTGTTGTGGAATAATTTGTACTTCCGTGAGCAATTAATAACTTGAAATAGGAAAAAAGAAAGCAAGAATGAATGAATAATTGATTAATCAAAAGTCGAAATTAACTATAAAAGAGAGAAGGGATAGTTTGAGTGAGATAATGATCTTGAAAATGCCAAAATCACGACTTTCTAGCCCTTTTCTTTTTGATAGCCTCTTCATCACTTTTATGAATATTGACCTTCATTACAAGTCATGCCCTATTCATTCAAATCTAATATGGCTCAATTGTAAAGGTGTGCCGCAATTTCATGTCTCGTTTCAAAGAAACTTTAATATTTGTTCTTACCTAAGGGGTCGAAGAGAGTAAATGTGAGACGAAATTAGAGTATAACTCAACTAATTAATGAATCGGACTTGCCAAATGAAGCAAAAATAAAATTTGTTTTGGTCACCTCTCAACATAATAAGATTGAATGGGTTTTTTTGACTATTAAGAGGCCATTAGAATTGACACAAAGGATTTAAAATTTATAATGAAATAAAAATTATTCCAAACAAGGTCAAAAATCATAAACTATTAGAAAACTTTGATCGATTGTCATCTAAAAAGATAAAAAAAAGGAACCCATGTGGCAACAACACACATATATATATAGGGAAATTGCATTATTAATCCTCAATTATTGTTCTAATTGTAAGTTGGTCCCCAAACTTTAGAAAATAATATATCAATCCTTAGTTATTTCATTATAGTTGCATAATTAGTCCACAATAATGATCACAATTTAATCCTTCATTAAATTGTCACGTGACCATCTCATGTCCAACTTTATTTATGGTCTCTTACCCACTCGACGTTCGAGGTATCGTGAATTGAGTGATTCAAAATTCAAGTGCCATAATTTGAGTGAACGGTCGTACCTCGATTGTGTTTATAGGACCATCTCGTCGAAGCATTTCTTTAGATCTAGACTTGTTAATGACTTGCTACATGACTATATGTTAGGGACCAGCAATACAATTTCTCCCGAGAGAGAGAGAGAGAGAGAGGAGGCCAACTCAACCGTTAAAGTGCACCTACCTACCAAATGCAACCCCATCTATTAACTCCTCGTCCTTGTCACCAACTTGGTCAAACCCCTCCCTCTGTTGGTTACAAGCCTTCCAAGTTTCTGCCAACTCACCCGCCCTATTTATTATAGGGAGATTTTCACAAATGTCACTAAACATATTCCTCTGTCCCCGCCCCCCCCTCTCTCTCATCATCCATTGCCAACCTGCCCACTATCCACACCACCTCACCTCTTAATTCATATATTATACCTTATTCTTCAATTTTCTTGAAATCAAACTTTCTCTCTCAATCAATCAAAAGTCATTAGAAAACCCGAAAAACGGTGTACAAGAAAAAAATCTCTGTTTCTTGAATTAGTGGATAGTTTTTCAAGAAAATCTTGAACCATGGGACGTTCACCTTGCTGTGAAAAATCTCATACAAACAAAGGCGCTTGGACCAAAGAAGAAGACCAAAGACTCATCAATTACATCCGTTTACATGGTGAAGGAAGCTGGCGTTCCCTCCCAAAAGCCGCAGGTTCAACTTATTCGATGATCCTATTTCCTATTATTTGTTTGGTACTCGACCTTGACGGTATCTAGATTCTAGCTGCCTAAAATGACATTTTTTCGCGCCGACTCATTTATGTTCTTTCTTTCTTGTTTAGGGCTGTTGAGGTGTGGTAAAAGTTGCAGATTGAGGTGGATAAATTACCTAAGGCCTGATCTCAAGAGAGGGAATTTTACTGAAGAAGAAGATGAAATAATAATCAAACTTCATAGTTTGCTTGGAAACAAGTATGCTCTTTTCTTCATCTTTTAGAAATTTTTAATTTTTGTTTAGAAAATTGAATGAGTAGGACCACAAAAATAGTATGAATATATACTCAATCGACGGTAAGTTTTTTCATTTTTAAATGGGATGTGGATTCTGTTTTTACCTTTTCGTTCCCCATTTTTAACTCAGCAACTTGACAAAGAGTAAATCTGGTAAATTGAAATGAGAATATTTTAACAACATTCTGGAAAGAATATTTTATTACTTTTACTGCCGAGAAAAAAAAATTCTAATTCAGATGCCTTGCAGATGGTCGTCGATAGCTGCAAGATTGTCTGGGAGAACTGATAATGAGATAAAAAATTACTGGAACACGCACATCAAACGCAAGCTTATTAGCCGTGGTATTGACCCTCAAACCCACTGTCCACTCGACGGCAGTGCCACCAGCAACACCACTAAGGCTCCTTCTTTGGACTTCAGAAACCCAGCTCCACCATCATCAGAGAAACCCACTTTGCTGATCAATGAGGCCGGGAACAAGTGCATGCCTCCAGCAGACTCGTCAAACGACACCAAATGCAACAGCAGCACCACCGAGGAGGCTCCCCCACCGCTAGAGCAAAACACTCCACGTGCAAATGCAATTGACCTTGAACTATCCATAGGACTTCCTTCTCAATCAAAGTTCAAGAAGACTGCTTCTTTCAACTCATCTGCAGTGTCTAAGCTTTTCTGTGATTTCTTGCAACCGGCAGAGACACCATCTCCGGCGATGCCGCTGGTGGCATGGCCAATTATGTGTTTTTGTTGTCAGTTAGGATTACAGAAGGGTCAGTTATGTAGAAATTGCCAAGGTAGAACTGGTCTATACAGATATTGCTGACCATTAGATCTGTGGATTTTAGGTGTAGATATTAATGCTTCGTTTTAATTGCAGCTCCGTGTAACGTCATGAATCTTTTTATTTTATTTTTTTCTGGGTTCAATCAAAATGTAACATGCTCAAGAATAAATGTATTTTTAGAAATAGTCCAACTAAATTGATGGCCTCATTTAGTTTAGGGGACTATCCAGATTTCACATGTTTCCAAATTTCTCACAAAAAGGAAATAAATCATGTTGATTCGAATAACATATCGAACAATTTTGCAATCAATTTTCTTTTTGTTTATATTTAAGATATTTTACGTGACATATTGCTATGTGGCAAATAATTGCTTATCAGATAGCTTGTATGTTAATCTAATGGCAGAGTCAACCCTAAAATGAATTTAAAAGGACTTAAGTTCCAACTGTCCTAATTAATTTTATTTTAAATCAGCATATTATATGAGACAGGATTTCCCTTTTTTTTTTTTATAAAAGGTCAATGTATACTAAACTATATAACGGAATAATACAATGCAAAACATTTTGTTTTTAACGATAACGGAAAAAACTTGTATCTTGAAAAGTCACAACAATCTTAATGACAATGGCTTTTTACGGGGGGAAAAAATTTCGTTAAAAATTGAATGTTTTTAAGTAGTGACAATGTTAAACTAGATCATCTTATCTTTAGAAATTGGATGCCGAAAATACTTAGTTTAAGCAAAATCGGAGGAGTGCCAGTCGAGCTTAAATCTAAGACACCATTTACTTGTATGTTTATGCAATTGGTAATGCAATCGACAATTGGATATATATACATGGAACATGTTGACTTTATAAGTATCAAATCTTTGTTGCAAAAATATTAAAAATTCACATAGCAAAGAAAACTTGACTTTCAAAATGTATGGTTTTGGTTGCTAATTAATATTCCAAGGTCAAACTTACAAACAATGCACAGTGTTCGAACAAATTCTATGGGACAAATGGAGCTGGTTTTAATGGAACAAAATTTAAATCCTTTTATCGCTCTACAAAAATTGTGCCCAAAAGCGAATGGAAGAGGAATCTAGACTCATCACACCATGTAAGTAAATTGAGTAATCAACGGTAAGGATGTTTTTAATTGCGATCATGAATTTTTTATGGAAAGAAAATAAGTTTTGAACAATTGAATTGCCTATAAATTTTTTTACATGAAAATTATTAATTAAATGTTGTTATTTTCCATCTTTCGGTGTTTGATGGCCATTATTTTCCATTAAAATAGTCATTTTTTTCAACTTTTGTTGTTTGATAGCTATTATCTTCCATGAAACTTGTCACTTTTTCCAAGAAATGGAAACGGTAAATTCATTGTACAATTTTTTTTTAAAAAAAAATTGCAAGCCGGCTAGGCTCGATAATGCTCAAGTCAAAAGCTCGGGTCAAATTTTGATTTTTTGGCCTAGCAAAAGCTCGATTTGGACCAACAAAAGCTCAAACCATTTTTACTCGAACTTCAAATTTCGACTCGTGAGCAAGCTCAACTCAGTTCGTTGACATCCCTAGAGGAGCTCTGACATCTCTAGCTGATTTCATATTTTTCTTAGGAATCTGTTTGACCATATTTGTTTCAGTGACCAAATTCACCCCTTAAAAGATTATAATATCAAATTCAAAGAACAAGCAAATCTTATCAAAGATCGATTAGCCATGATTTTGAATTGAATTATTGGCAATGGCCAACAACATGAATATTCCATAGCTGCAACTTAAATTAATTAACAAACCTTAGACACGAAAGCAAGCATTCTTAATTAATGTACACTGATTGTATAATTAAAAGAAAACTAGTGTGTCACCCGTGCGAACTTCTCAAAACTCGTTACTAATTCTCACGCCGGAGGTACAACGGGGGAGAAAGCCCCAACCTCATTTTGCAGGTAGCAACCACCAACTAGAGCAACCGGACCACCGTATTCATCAAGGCGAACACGGAGGTCTACCTTGCTACTATTTCAAATAACATCCTTTCAATTAAACTTCACATGAAAATAAAAGGAATGTGAAAAAAGAACAAAGGAACGTAGTATTACATAACAAACAGAATAATAGAGATTAAAAGCTATTAAGAGAATATGACTAGTAGTGCTAGAAAAAAAAATTCTAAACATACTCTTGTGGTGGATATGTATACAATCTCTGGCATAATTTTTCATCAATTTTTAGAAAATACATAAAAAGAATTCCTATGGGTGAAGATTCATTGCATACATATTGAGATGCATTCCATGGTTCCATCGTCTAAAAATATTACTAGCATGCTTTAAACAGTGTTATAAAATCCAGATCAAATCGAATGGCTCGGTCCGAAAATCTTCAAACCAGACCCAGGTCCGGTCCGAGTCACACGTATGTATTGTTGGACAATTAACCTGCTTCAAACCCTTTTAATCACTGATTTTTTAATTGACCCATTAGCCCATTTTTCCTTGAACCAATCGACTTTTCACTGGGTTATAAATTGTAGGTTGCAAGGAATTGAACCTTCAACTAAGAAGAACAAGAGCCAAATTAACCAATTGAACCAACAACACTTTTTTATTGTGTAGTAAGAGATATATAATTCATAAATACATAATGTTTTCTAAAATTATTTTAATTGAAAAAGATTAAATATAATAAAGATAGAAATAATATATTTTTTGTAAATATATTATACAAAATTATAATATCAAAACGTAATCATTATCACTAATATGAGTTCAAAAAATCAATAATTTAAAGATATTACTTTAAAACTTTAATTTTATCTAAAAGAGAAATTTATATGTACAAAAATTTTAAAAATAATTTTAAGCAATCACCTACCGATCTGACCACGAATACAATGATTCAACCAGTAACTCGATGATGCAGTATCTCGACTAGGTCAATGTCCGAGTCAAATTTAATAACTATGACTTTAAATGAGGATCAAATATTTAATTGCATTTTTGCAATATTTTTTTTATTTTTTCTTAATTCAAAAATACAATAGGCAAATGAATTTTTTTACTCAATTTTAAAGAAAATTTATAGAGATCATAATTAGGAATAATTTACATTAATTTGAGGATAAGAATGCGAAAAAACAAGTTTTACACATAAATGTAATAATACCGTAAGGTTATGAACCTTTCATGTTATTAAAATGTAGTTTGGTTATTAAAAACTGTGGTATGAATATATTTATTATTTTAGCGAACTTTTAGGGGCAAATAAGTCCATTAAAAAATTGACCATTGATGAAAAACTAACAAGTTTTGACCATTTTTCAATATCTTAGGAGATCATAAGCACAAATGAGCAAGGATGATGTTCAAGGGGTAGTGTACAGGTACTACCATACTAATACATCGAACTGTTATCGAGCCGTTGAATCTTAGACAAGTCATTACAAAGCGTTATCCGTGAAGGCATCGATAATAAATATTCATCTTGCACATATAATTACAATAGCTTGAGGACCCTAGTTTTGAAATAAATGGGGATTTGGCAACTTGTACAAGGTACTAGTTGGATATGATATTAATTTATTGGAAATATAGCTAGTTTCTTGTGCTTAATTAGGTTCCACATAAAATGGGGAGCATATTCCTCCACCAATAAATACATAAATATATATATACTAGGTGCAAGTAACGTGCAATACACGTTTGCCTAGTTTATATTTAATAGTTTTGTTTAAGAATTAATTTGTTATTAATAAAGATGTAATTTTTTTGGTTAATTAAATAATTAATGATGTAATGTTTATGTAATTGATAAATAATTAGATGTGTGATTTTGATGTTAAAGTTGACAAATTTGGAGAAAATGGCTAAATTGTAAGGGATCCAAAGTTCGGGGACTAAAATGTAAATACTTAAAAGTTGTGCCGAACCTCACGATGAAGATTTGAGAGTGCTCAGAGTCAATTGGATAAAGAAAGACGTCAATGGAATCAAATTTAGTCAAAAGATGATCACAAATCAATTTCCAACCGAAAAGTTATTTCCGATATTTTAGTCTCATATTGAGACCTATTTTTGGCATAGAAAGTGATCGAACTGGAGAATGATGTCTGAATCAAAGTTGTAGTCAGGTGAGTTAGCTTTCTAACGCATTTTGAATCGCCTCAATCGAATATCGGAATACAAAGTTATGATAAAAACACTGAAAAAATGTGCAACTGCCTGTTTAAAACAAGAAATTCCGTTATATAGTCCGTTAAAACAACAAATTCCGTTATTTTTCCGCTAAAAACAAGAAATTCCGTTACATAACCACTTTTAATATATAGAAGATGTAGTGTTTTCAACACATAGAAAGTGATCGAATTGGAGAATGATGTCTGAATCAAAGTTGTAGCCAGATGAGTTAGCTTTCCAACGCATTTTGAATCGCCTCAATCGGATATCGGAATACAAAGTTATGATAAAAACACTGAAAAAATGTGCAACTGCCTGTTTAAAACAAGAAATTCCGTTACATAATCCGTTAAAATAACAAATTCCGTTAATTTTTCCGTTAAAAACAAGAAATTCTGTTACATAGCTACTTTTAATATATAGAAAATATATATATATGCACACACACAATATTTAGTAGTGTGAGCGTGAAGCTATTAAAATTGACTAATAACTAATAATGGCCTTATAAATCCATCTTTAATTAAGAAAGAAAATGGAATGTTTATAACATCTCAGATTGATCGTATTTTAAGAGAGAGAGAGAGAGATTAAAGGACATGTGACATGTTTGGCTGGTAGGTATATAACAGAATCTTTTGGTACCTGCAGGTTAATAAAATAAAAAATAAAAATATATAGTTATATAAAAGGGTTAGAAATTAAGAAAACAGTTGATTCTAAAGGTTAGATTGCTGGCCCAATTATTGCTATGATGCGATTGTACATCAAAGCAAAATGGCCTTTGAGGAGTGCAAATTAAGTACAAGTTGGGGAAATGGCCGGTGCCAACTAACCTCCTAACCTTTGCGGCTGCGTT